AATGAGTGCTAAAATATATTTATAGGTACTTATATAGCTTTACGTGAGCAGACGTGCAGTGCCAGTATGACCTCAGATTCCGCTTAAAATATATATTTAATATAATAAATTATAATATATATGTAATATGTATACCTAATATTATATTATTATATTACCTATAGGTACCTATAGGTACCTATAGGTACCTATCATTGTGATCTGCACAATATATATATTGTGCAGATCACAATGATATTATAGGTACTTATATGTAGGAAAAATGACGTACATTACCCTGGCCCCCCTCATTGAACTTTTTACATAAGAAACTAGGTTACTAATTAGCACGCCATTAGCATGTATTTGCACGACTATTTTTAGAATTTGCACGACTTTATTTTACGAGTTATGTATAAAAAACTGTGAGGGGGGCTGGCGTAACGTTACCCCAGCCCCCCTCATAAGGAAATAATCACTTTTTTATAATTTTTTTTTTACAAAACATTAGCACGCCATTAGCACGCATTTGCACGACTGTCGCCGAACCCGAATATTTTCCATTTTCCCGGGAAAACCCGTTTTCCACTCTTACGCATTACCCCAGCCCCCCTCAAAAAAGAAGCAGTCACTTTTTTACAAATTTTTTTTTACCAAACTTTAGCACGCCATTAGCACGCATTTGCACGACTGTCGCCGAACCCGACAATTTTCCATTTTCCCGTGAAAACCCGTTTTCCACTCTGACGCATTACCCTAGCACCCCTCATAAGGAAATAATCACTTTTTTATAATTTTTTTTTTACAAAACATTAGCACGCCATTAGCACGCATTTGCACGACTGTCGCCGAACCCGACAATTTTCCATTTTCCCGGGAAAACCCGTTTTCCACTCTTACGCATTACCCCAGCCCCCCTCAAAAAAGAAGCAGTCACTTTTTTATAATTTTTTTTTTACCAAACTTTAGCACGCCATTAGCACGCATTTGCACGACTGGCGCCGAACCCGACAATTTTCCATTTTCCCGTGAAAACCCGTTTTCCACTCTTACGCATTACCCCAGCCCCTCTCTGAAGGAAATAATCACTTTTTTATAATTTTTTTTTTACAAAACATTAGCACGCCATTAGAACTCCCAGCGCTATCCCAAAAACAAAATTGGGGGGGCATTGAAACGGGACACCCCCTTTTTGGGAAAATTGAAAATTTTGAAGTGCCAAACTTTTGTGCATCGTTTGTGCAGAAATGTGCACCAGGTCCCGACGTTTGTGCACGAAAACTTCCAGCACTATCCCAAAAACAAAGTGAAGGGGGCCATTAAAACGGGACACCACCTTTTTTGAAATTTAAAATATTTTTCATATTAATAAAGTATGTCGTTCAGGTAATAGGTTTTTAATTTTTTCATGTGAACGCCTAGAAATAGTAGGTACATAATAGATATTTTAAATATCATTTTTTTTTTTTTTGTTAAGTAATTTATAGTGAGACATATTCCGCAAAAGAATAATGTTTCTTTTATTAATAAAACTTCAAAAACATAATTACCTATTGTGTTCAGATAACAAATAAATCATGGCATTAAATAGCTCAAAAAGCTTCGAAATATTTTGAAAATTTTACCATACATGGAAAATGCTGATTTAAATCTTTGGTAACCATTTGGTGACCCTGCAGTTATTCGTTTTGAAAATACAACAAAATATAAAAAACCGATCAATAATTTACTGCTTAATATTAAATATACCAAAAATTATAACTTCAAAAGCTCATTAAAAAATAAAGTTCCATTTAAGTACACTTTTGTTTATTTGTTATAGGTAGGAAAACTTATGTAAAAAGTTCTACTAAAATTTTTAATCTTAAGTATGAAAAGGAAATTGTTTATGAATTTCTAATTAAAAAATAATTTACAACATTTAAAATATTTCTCATGGCTATTAAAAGCTGAAAAATATTCAAAACTGTTTGAAACTATTACAAAGCATGGAAAATAGTCATTTCAATATTCTGTAAAAATTTCATGTATCTACAATTATTCATTTTTGAATTACAACCAAATATTAAAAAAATATTGATGAAAATTCGATAATTTAGATGAAAATCCTGTATTATAAAAATTTGAACTCATAAAAAATTAATGTTGCTTTTCGGTAAATTTTTTTGATTGTTAAATATATATTAATTGTAGACAAGATATAAAAAAAAATTATATAAAATGTTTATATTTCTTTTTTATTAAATTTATATTCTTATATTTTTTATTTGATATAGATTTTTTACTAAACATACTGCTTTATCAAATATAGATTTTTTTATAACAATTTTAATATTTTTTATTTAATATAATATATTTTTTAAATATGGATTATTATCAATTATAGATTTTTTGTCAAATATTGATTTTTTTCTCTAATAATATATCTAAATAGATGGAAACGTATAAATTATTATTTATATCTTACCTTGTAAGTGTCTTATTTAAACTCATTTATTAAAAAGTTTATACTATTTTTCGAAATAATTTGTTCTCAATGAGGTGTTATGATTTTTATTTTTATTTATTTGTTATCTGAACACAATAGGTAATTATGTTTTTGAAGTTTTATTAATAAAAGAAACATTATTCTTTTGCGGAATATGTCTCACTATAAATTACTTAACAAAAAAAAAAAAAATGATATTTAAAATATCTATTATGTACCTACTATTTCTAGGCGTTCACATGAAAAAATTAAAAACCTATTACCTGAACGACATACTTTATTAATATGAAAAATATTTTAAATTTCAAAAAAGGTGGTGTCCCGTTTTAATGGCCCCCTTCACTTTGTTTTTGGGATAGTGCTGGAAGTTTTCGTGCACAAACGTCGGGACCTGGTGCACATTTCTGCACAAACGATGCACAAAAGTTTGGCACTTCAAAATTTTCAATTTTCCCAAAAAGGGGGTGTCCCGTTTCAATGCCCCCCCAATTTTGTTTTTGGGATAGCGCTGGGAGTTCTAATGGCGTGCTAATGTTTTGTAAAAAAAAAATTATAAAAAAGTGATTATTTCCTTCAGAGAGGGGCTGGGGTAATGCGTAAGAGTGGAAAATGGAAAATTGTCGGGTTCGGCGCCAGTCGTGCAAATGCGTGCTAATGGCGTGCTAAAGTTTGGTAAAAAAAAAATTATAAAAAAGTGACTGCTTCTTTTTTGAGGGGGGCTGGGGTAATGCGTAAGAGTGGAAAACGGGTTTTCCCGGGAAAATGGAAAATTGTCGGGTTCGGCGACAGTCGTGCAAATGCGTGCTAATGGCGTGCTAATGTTTTGTAAAAAAAAAATTATAAAAAAGTGATTATTTCCTTATGAGGGGTGCTAGGGTAATGCGTCAGAGTGGAAAACGGGTTTTCACGGGAAAATGGAAAATTGTCGGGTTCGGCGACAGTCGTGCAAATGCGTGCTAATGGCGTGCTAAAGTTTGGTAAAAAAAAATTTGTAAAAAAGTGACTGCTTCTTTTTTGAGGGGGGCTGGGGTAATGCGTAAGAGTGGAAAACGGGTTTTCCCGGGAAAATGGAAAATATTCGGGTTCGGCGACAGTCGTGCAAATGCGTGCTAATGGCGTGCTAATGTTTTGTAAAAAAAAAATTATAAAAAAGTGATTATTTCCTTATGAGGGGGGCTGGGGTAACGTTACGCCAGCCCCCCTCACAGTTTTTTATACATAACTCGTAAAATAAAGTCGTGCAAATTCTAAAAATAGTCGTGCAAATACATGCTAATGGCGTGCTAATTAGTAACCTAGTTTCTTATGTAAAAAGTTCAATGAGGGGGGCCAGGGTAATGTACGTGGAAAAATGATAGTGAGATCATGTAGTGAGGCTGAGGCACCATATAATATTATGTGCAGTATAATATTATATCTATTGATATAGTTCAATATATAATAGCAGAGTACATATTATGTGATACCCATATTAACACCTCCTATATTATATATGTATTATAGGTACCAACATATAGGTAATATACATACCTAACTTTGGGTGTTTTTCATAAAATCACAATACGCGATGACTTAAATGTATCTATATCATATTATGTACCAATATATAGGTATCATTATCACGTGCACACGCCCGCGAACATACTCGCGCGGTATACGGTGCGCTCGCAAGGGGAAGGCGCATAATATTACATCGTGAGCAGGGCGAGCGTGGCGCGGCGGTAGTGCAGGCGTGAAGTGGCGACGGTGCAGGTACGGTGGCGCGCATATTATTATACATATATAAATACGATATAGGTAAATGTGTATACGGGTATACGTTAACGCAATAATCGAAACCAGTTTTACATATTATTCTATAGAGCAGTGTATGGTATACAGTTAACACCTTAAATACACATGTTTGTTATGGCGTTAACGACGGCGACGGTCCAAAAGTAAACACGGCGCGCGCCGGCGGGCCGCGAACGGCCGGCCAATGGGCCGCCTTGTTTCCCGGGCCGGTCTCGCCGCCCAACCGCGGTCGCCGTCGGTCACGCCCACCGCGCGCGCCGCTCTACCCTCTCCATCGGACCCGCTCGCCCGTCCCGTTCACCCCACCCACCCAAGCAACCACCACCGCCGCCGCCGTGCCGACCGCGCACGGGCCCGGACCTTCGCCGGCAGCAGTCTACCGTCGTCGCCCGCACGTTGCATACGCGTACCGTCGTCGCTCTTGTCGCTGTTTTATTGTCGTCCTGTCTGTACTGTTATTATTTTTTTCGCGCAGTATAATTGCTGTGTGCGCGCGAGCGTGTTCGAAGTGCAGTGCGCGTAAACTCTAAACGACCCGCTCGAATGCAGCGGACAACCGTGGTTTTTGGTACGTCGTTGGCGCGCGAATGATCGTATTTCGATTTCTGCGTTTTAAGATTTTTCTATTTAAATGACAATTTCGTTTTAAGTACCTACCCATACAAAGTTCGTATATTGGAACCGACCTAGTATATTATATATATCGTTACGATCGATTGTCTGTACGTCGTCCGTTAAAATGATACAAGTGGCCGCGACGCCGATGATCGTCAAACCGAAAATCGGATTCTCCATTGAGTCCATCGTGGGCGCGGGTTCCCGGTCACCGGCCAGGAGCGAAGGTTCTTCGGTGGCGCACGACGAGAGTGAGGCATGCAGTTCGGCCGCCGGTTCTCCGCTGAACCCGGGAAGCGTATCACCGCCGCCGCATCACCACCATCACCACCACCAACAACACCATCAGCAACACCAGCATCAGCAATCCCATCACGTGCACCAACATCAGCAGCAACACGAACAGCAGCAGACTTCTGCAGCAAGCGGCACCACGGTGTTCAAGCCGTCCGCACTACCAGCCTCCGCCGGTTACGGGTCATCGTCCGTGGCCGCCGCAGCCGCCGCCGCTGCAGCCGGACACTTGGCCAAAGGGTTGCAGTACGTGCACGAACCGCTGACGCCACCACCCGCCCACCCACATCCTCATCATCCGTTTGCGTTTGCCGCAGCCGCAGCCGCCGCCGCCGCTGCAGCGCACCACTATCAGCCAAATCCGCACCACCCGCAACACCAGCCTACCCGTGACACGTACCCTCTGTACCCGTGGCTGTTGTCGCGACACGGAAGGATATTTCCGCACAGGTTTCCCGGTGGTGAGTACTTTTTATATAATATGTTATCTATACTTATAAGGTACCTCAAAATGCCCAATTAAACTACCCTATTATTTATATAGTATAATTAGGTATTCTAGGTATATAATTATTATTAAAATATAACTCAATGTATACCTACCTAGGCATTGATATCAGTTGCCGCTTCACTAATTTCATCGAAAGTTAATTTGTGATATCAAATTATATACATAGCATCTAGTAGGTACCTATACCTACATATCACATACTTTCAAGTATCTTAACGGTGGAATGTAAACTGTACCAATATACATGGTACCTATACCTTAATATATATAGCCACATATTATTATAATTTTCATGATATAAATTAAATACACCTGTTGTATTAAGGCTCATATTATATTATATACCTAGGAACGATTTTACTGTTATCCGCATGACTACTATATATATAATGACACGTGTGACGTATCCACACGTACCTTTAGTAGAACGTCATAATTTTTTCTCGCCTTAATAATATTTTCTGTATAAGTAAGTCACATTTCCGAGCGCTATAACGTCCATCACCGCCTCTATATGAGTGCCTACTGTACATGTTTCCTTCAAATACTCAAAATAATATATTTACTCATTTTACGTAACCACATCGATATTTGTATTGTTACATTATATTATAACTTATCTCTACTGTAGCCTTACTGTATATAAGTATTGGCTGGTATACCTACGACCTAAACTCAACGTTTATACCTACGTATTCGATTAATATTCGCGAGAATTAAAAAAAAAAGGTAAAAAAGGTAGGTACTGTTACTTTTGCAATTTTTTCTTTCTTAAAATGCCATTATACATTAATGCCTTAGGGAAAAAAATGACAATAAGTTACGCAATATATAATACGTAGGTAGGTATAAAATTACCTTTTCATTTGGTAGGTACACGCAACCATGTGCCATTTCTATTGATAAATACAATAAAATGGTTCTGTTAAGATTATTATTTTTCACATTGCATTTCTCGTAAATTTCACTTGGACAAGATACAAAACCGGCATCCGTTTACATATATATAATTTGTAACATATTTTATACTTAAGGTGAATAGGGGTGCAGAACCCCCAGTGTGTACAATACCGGTCGAAATTCTGCGCGGCCTGTACGGTTATATATACGATATAATACAAATTCTATTATAATATTTATATCGGTATATACTACCTAAAAGTATATATTTTTATAGATTACACAACCCTGTATATATAAGGCAACGGGAGGCACTGGGCGTGCAGTTTAATAATATAATAATGCTAATAGTGTATGTGTGTTTGTGTGTGTGTGTGTATCAGTGCATGTGTATAAGATCTTCGGCAGCGTAAAGTGACCCAATAAAAATTTGTCCTACAATAAGTTATACGTGTTATAGTTTGTAGGAACAATATAATAACACGCGTGTAGTAGGTAAATAAACGATTCTTGGAGTGTGCGGTGTATAATATGCACCCATATTGAAAAAAAGGTGTTCCTGGGTATTATCATTGAATACGCTATATATGATGCAACTCGCACACACGACTATTATTATTACATTATATTATGCTCTTCGGATACCGTTTGAATGGAAAAAGAGAAAAGAACAAAACTGGTGACCATAAAACTTCTGTCCCCTGCAACATTCATGTCACAGTGTGTGTCCAGCTCTGTACCCACAGTGCGCGTTAAGTACATAATATACTTATGTAATAATATATGATATACGTCCAATTTCGGGATCTTCCTGGTGTACCTTTTGTAAATCGCTTATTGTATACTTTTTTTCATATGGTCGCATTTGCGCAACACATTATACGACAAGAGTCCCGTTATATAGGTTTGATGTGTGCTATTTAAAACTCAATAATAAATGATTGTATAGACGTATAGCAATATACGTGATATATAACTGTTAAAAATAATTTCGATCCCTTAAGAAAAAATAACAAATATCTATATACACATGAAACATTTTCAGCATACCTACATCGGGTATGGGATTATCGAATCGTTACACAGGATTTTAGGAATACCGAATGTACCTAACTCTTATAGTGATATTAGTATTGTACACGCTGTATAAATCATTTCGACTCTAATTTAACGTTTCTCCGCACAGAATACTATACGATTGAGTGTAGGTACTATTGTATCATATTATAACTACATAATTTATAATATATAGGCGTGCAAACAATGCGCATGTAGGTGCCTAATATACCAATATGTATATACCACATTGGCACAAGTTATATTATATATTATGTACCTATTATAGCATGCGTATACCTACGTCTTAACGCAAATATTGTCATCATTACAGATGCCAACACTTTGCATTTATATGTATATATACTACACCAGGGCCGCAACATACGAGTAGGTAATAATAATGGAAATATTGTAATGTGTAGCATATATTATTATATAGGTATTGTGTATTAGTGATTTTTTACACTGCATAATATTAATTTGTACTTGTACATAATATAATACAATTATAAACGAGAGATAGTAATAATAGTAAATATAGGTACCTGGTACCACTTTTCCATTAAATCGCCCACATTAAGCCGCGTCCACACTAGAGCACGCACAGACCGAGCATGTGTGCTCACGACGCACAACGAACGCGAGCCGACTAGATCGGCTCGCGTTCGCCGTGCGTCAAAATCGCTCTTGCGTGCTCTAGTACACATGCTCGGTCTGTGCGTGCTCTAGTGTGGACGCGGCTTTATATCGCCCATTAAATCGATTGTTTTTATCAACAAATTTCCAAATCGTAGCCCATATAGTGTGCTGTCGAATTTGACGGCACAGATTTAAAGAGGATATATTATTTTGTTGTCTCACGCATTATGTGAGTAGGATTATTTTTCTCACTTTTATAGTATCTGCCTATATATATATATATATAGTTACCTATATGTGTATAGGTACAAACCAAACATGTACAAAAAAACATGGTTGTTTATAAACAATTGTGTGTAGTGTAGTAAACAAATCGTGTTTCCGTTTTGTGTGTGTGTACAACGCGACATGTATATACTTAATGTAGGTACCGCACTACCGTGTGGTATATATATAGTGACGACACACCCTGTCTGTGGCTGGTTATCGTCTGTACTTAGATATGTATATATATAATAATGTAAGGCATTATGTTACACACACACACACTCACATAAATGGTATGTATTTTAGATACTCAAAAATAAATTACAGCAGCGACAATAATATTGTAATAATCGCGTATAATTAATGTCCAATAATAATAATAACGGTATGTGTAATAAAGCGTTGTAAAGTTAACATATTATAATGATGCAGTGCTCACTGCTCGTAAAGTTGTTGTTCGTTATAATATTCCTCGATAGTGTTTTACCAACAAACTCACATATTATATACCTATGCATTACAATGTACCGAGAACATTGTTATACTGTAATTTGTTCAGAACAAATTGTTCTTCTTCAACCCATTCTTAGAAATCGGTTATTTCAACGAAAGACCGTACTTCATATTATATTAGAGGGAACGCTCGCACGATTGTATAGTGTGTAAAGTGTAAACTGTATAATATCGTGTATATTAATGAACATATAAGACAATTCCCCCTCCCCCGAGTAATATTATAATAATATGTACCTACCTAATATTTAAAACAGGTATTTGAACTCAAAATATATATTTATAGGGATAACAAAAGAATCACAAATCAAAGACTTTTTATTAATTACCTGTATTTTATTTACAATATCTTTTAATCATTTTACTTTTTATTATAAAATTATAAATTTACTTATAGTAGTTTGGTTTAAAAATTATATGTTTTTTTATTATTATATTATTATTAGTATACCAGTAATTAGCACTCTTTATTATTGTATCAAAGAGACAAAGAATAAAATATATGTACTTACATAATTAATTATATTTATAGAAATATTTGAAAATTTACTATATTTTGTTTTATTTTACATTAGATAGAATAAAACTATAGATATTGTACAAAAAAAAAAATTCATATTTATAGAAATTAAAAAAAAATCTAGGTGATGTACAATTCCACCGAAAATTGCCAGGTCGGACAATATTGTCCCCTTATACCGTGTTTAGTAGTACTTACCTACTACTGTACAGCGTATACTACACCTTATAATTTTTACTTACCTTTTGCCTAAAATAAGTAATGATTAATGAATACCATCGGCGAGAACAAGACTTCATAATCTGAAGACGCGTTCTAACTCCTAACCATATACACTTAGCGCAGTGCACCTATATATAAATAATTAATATACGTTCATAATAGTAATAAACCATAAACGTCCACTTCAAGAATACGCTTTGATAATAATATGTATTATTCATCCGAAATTTCTGCTGCGTCGAGTATCAGTTTATCTTGTCATCGCGATCTTCACGCGCAATGACCGTTTCTAATGGTCTATAATATAGTCTCTACGAAGAGAACCTGTACCTACCTATATATCCGTAGTATACGCCTATGATAATATAAATTATTATAAATATTATTATTATACTTGGCCGCAGTTTCCCTTGGGCTACAATACGACTTCGATCAAAGAAAAAAAAACCAAAATCTATAAAGTAACCGATAACAAGCCACTGTGTGTTGATATGTATTAGATATATATAGGTACATTGCATATTTAATATATACATATAGGTACGCGAGTTAAGGTTCAAATTACTAATTACTGCGCTGACGTTGTTGTGATTATTATAATACGTGTACACTGTATACATGCGCATAGCACATTATATTATTATAATAAGCGTATATATAGTTAAGCGAGCCACCGCCGCCCGCGGATCGGTTAAAAAAATCATAATTTTTCATAGCCATCGTATGCTAAGTATACTAACTCATTTACCGATGATAAGTTGATTTGTATTTAATAGGTTTATGTATAGCGCCGCAGTGGTATAAAGGTACACCTTACACTCACCTCTGCA